CTCTCTTCTCTCTCTCTCTCTCTCTCTCTCTCTCTCTCTCTTTCTCTCGTTTAAGTAATCAGTCGAGTCGATAAGTTATTATACTCTCTTCGTAACGTTAGACTTTCTTAAATCGTTTAGCTTTTAAGTATAGCTGCTCTTGAATGAATTCGTGGACGATTGAGGGCGAGATCGCGCACGGATCCACGCGAGAAGATGCGTCCGTGATCGAGCGGGCTTTTTTAATCGACCTTAAGCCCTCGAAGCGTTCGCCTTCTTCGCGCGCGCGCACGCCGGCCACTCTTTATTTATATGTGTACATTTATGATACATTTACGGGAGATCAGTGGCGCGCAGTGGCCACCGTGCGACGATCCGAAGGGGAGAACGTTATCCCGATCTCTAAAATGCAGGTACATTTGTCGACGCCGTACGCCGAGACACAAGATATCCACACACGAAGCCGCCAGCGTCTCGCGTTAATCTTCTTGGGATGCGTCACCTATTCCCACGCACATTACGCACATACACGCCTGACGTAGTCCATTGCGCTCCACTCACAGCCGCAATTACATATAATTCCGTTTATGATTTTTTAACACCGAAAGGATAAATAGCACGGACTTTTAATTAAAAAGTGTAATTTTGCAAACATCACGTTATAACTCATTATCATCACAGTGAATTTTATAAGGAATTTAATTTTTACTAGAGTAATCTTTTCCATTCCATATATCACTTTACATCTCATTTTTCTCTCCAACTTGCAATAATTTTACAATCTAACAGATCCTCCATAAAGATATATTCTTTTTTTTTTCTTTATAAGATATTAATTCCCCATACTTTTTCTATTTGTTTACACGCGGATGAGTTGTAGATTTCGATGGTCATTTTCATAAAATAGTCTATGTGGAGTTTGCATTTAAAATAGCGGTTGAGTCACACTGGCCAACGTCATGCATTTTAGGGCTAAACCGTTGCGTTGGAGCTTAATGGACTTTGAAAACCTAATGGACTACTTTGCATGGTTAATTTTCACATTTTGACTTGCGATTAGACTTTGTGATTGGGGCAATCACGGCATGTATTTTCTCATCAAGTCTCAACGTGACGAAAGTGTTTAAAAAAGAAATCTATACAAATATTACTATTCCTCGAAAGAATCATCCGGTTGCGGATCGCAAGTTATCAACCAGTGAGTATTCGCATCGTGAAACACGCATTGCTTTAAAATTTAAATAACAAATATATTATCGCCATTTGTACTTTCAAATACACATGTGTATGTACCTTACAATGTTAAAAATCAAAAGTAGATATTTATTCGTAATATTTCGTATATTTATCGCTGTACGAAAATAACTTTTGTTCTGATCGCAATACTCATCATGCTACACTCACTGGTCAAATGCGAGCGTTAATGCTATTACACAGCCCAAATATGTCTCGCAGTTCCAACGCAAATGCTTGAACCCTCATTGTCCTCCCCTTTTTTCGTATTGCGCAAACCATCGAGGCTGAATCGCACTAACGGCTCGTTTCAATCTATCCTGATTCTACATTTTTATATCAAAAGCGACTCGTTTGTCATTTTCTCGCGGACACTTCCGTTCAAAATTATGACTTCATCTTTAATACGGGATGTTTCTCGAGTTCTAAGGTCGCACATCTCTCAACATATTATTATTTACAGAAAAGAGTGATGTAGAGCCGAGCATCTTTGTCTTAATAACATCGTAAAATTTGTTTTTCTGCGGATATTGAGGCCTTCGTTACATTTCCCTTGTACCTTTCTCAAAAATGTGTGACCTTTCGTATGCGAGATGAAATACTCGGACAAGCGGAATTTGCGACTAACTGGCGATAGTGCGATCGGTTCCTCGATCAAGACGCCGACGTCTTCTCCGATTTACGTATCGTATCGTGCTTACGACGGCAGGACGCGTCACGACGACCCCCCGAGTGACGGACGTTGCGAGCGATCCGTGCGAATTCGGTACGCGTTCGGCTCACAGAGCATGTCTATGTGTGTGTGTGTGTGTGTGTCTGTGTGTGTGTCTGTGTGTGTGTCTGTGTGTCGTCTAGAGGAGAGAAGCACCAGGTTGCAACCGCCTTGTAGCACCATACAACTTTCATGCACTTGCACTCGTGCGTGTCTCTTCGTGCGTCGTGCATGTAATATAGGCCACGGCGGTTGTACATATATACTGTGTGTAATTTAAATGTGTGTGTGTGTGTCCGTGTACGTATATGCGCGGGTGGTGCGTCATCAGCAATTGGTTGCGTTTTTCCTTCCCCCTCAGAGTCGCGGACTATCGAATTCCATGAAAACAAAATCCCCCCGGACGGCCTTCTCGAGCAACTTTAGGCTTCAACTCACGAATGAAAACGCGAAGGAGCAGATTCTCCGGGCTGGAAGACTTGGATCACAACGGTTCCCGTCGTTTCCCAGCCCCGAAGAAGATTCTTCGTACTCGGCGTAGTCGAGATCCCTTCTTTCCCATCTTTTCCTCACACGTCTTAATCGCCTTGCGCAGGACTCACGCGTGGATTTTCGAGCTCGCGGATGCAATTGCAAAAACATTGCCTTGATCTTCCAACAAACGCGCCTTATCAGCGGTGAATGTGAAATCGCACGTGGTTGCGCGTTTATTGGAAGATTACAGCGTCTGTGAATCTTTCACGAGGTACACATAAATTGAGCTTGCAACCCGGCTTCGAAATTCTACGGTGGATAAAATGACGGTACATGATAATCTCGTACGCGGTAGCTCGATATGAAAGCCGCCCGAATTTCTACCGCGACACTGCCGATCATCCAACGCGAATAACACCTGTCGGTTCGCGAATAGGTCCCATCCTTCGCCCTTGTCCTCTCTTCTTTTCGTAAAGCCCTCAGAGCGCTCTGTCTTGTCTGCACCTGCGAGTGCCGCGTGTTATGACGCGTCCGTCCCTCGGGGAGCAGATACGTTGGGAGACACGTTGATTAGCGATAGTAATAATAATAGTAATAGTAGTAGTAAGTATTATTAATAGTAGTAATAGTAGTATTAGCAATGGTAGCGATAGTAGTAGAAGTAACGGTAACGATAGTGGTAAATAGTCGCGGTTGGATAGTAGTAGAAGTGGTAACGATAGAATAATAGGGTTAGAGCAAGTAGCCGTGGTAGAGCAGTAGTAGTAGCGGTGGCAAGATGAGCGGAGGAAGAACGAAAATGTCACAGAGGGTTCGATGTATATGTGTGTCCGTCTGTCTATACGTACGCGCGTATGTATGTATGTTTTGTGTGTGTAATTGACGCGGCAATAAATTAACGCGAAACAGAGAGATGGATGGGGGACTCCTCGAGAGTCGCCGGCCCGGACGTCGAGCGCTCCGGAGGGAGGACGTGCCGTACGTTTCACCACCGCCTTCCAGGACTGCGCGAATCGCGTGCTGGCCACCACCGCCGCTCATCTACTTGCCCTGCGGCGTCAGCGGATAGAAATCGATGAGATGACTCAACGACGTTAAAGTTGAGGGCTATGATCCCACGCACATCAGCGACTCGTGCGTACTACTGCTGCTACCGACATTGCTGACGCCGGCGCTACCGACGACGTTGCTGTTGCTGCAGCTGCTGCCGCAACTGCTTCCCGACGACATCAGATGCTGCTGCGTCTGATGCGGTTGTTGCTGCTGTTGCTGCTGGTGATGGTGATGCTGATGATGGTGGTGGTGGTGGTGGTGGTGGTGGTGATGATGCTGCTCCTGGGTCGTCGTTGTACTTCTCAGGATGTCGTCCGTTGAGAGGGACGTTAGCTTCCAACCGGGCATAAAGTCCAGATCGAGATCGGGGCCTATGTCCACGTCCAGTAGTTCGTTGTTGTTGAGCGGGTCGAGCGGCGATTGGCTCGACAGGGACAGTACGCTGCCCCAGTTGATCGATCGGCTGTCGTCGCTGTCGCCGATGCCGGAGTCGACGTCGGTCTCGCCCGACGATGTCGGCGGCACCGGGAAAGGCGTTAACCTGCCCTGCTCGGGCGATTGCAGTTGAGCTATCGGCGCCGGTATTACTGGCTCCATGGGCGGTGGACTCCTGTCCCTCTCCATCTCACGCTCCAGGTGTCTCAAGGTGTTGCAGATCAGGACCGATCGGTGGAGGCTCGGGTCTGGAAACTGGCGGTACCTGGCAAGCTTGCACATGGAGATGTTGAGCACGGCCAATCGGCGTTGTCGATAGCAAGCCCGGCCGCGCCGGCACCAGCTGGACTTGGAGCCCTCGCAACATCGCTCGTTCGCCCGGTAACTCGAGCCGAGTTCCAAGTAGCTCTTGCCGTTCTCCTCGCGACGTATCGTCGGCGGTTCGTAATGATGCAGGCCCCACTGCGGCTGAGCTCTCAGCTGGCTGTAGCCGTTGCTGCCAATGGGGGTGACGGCGCTGCGCTGATGGTGATAATAATGTTGCGCGTGATGATGCAGCTGCGTCACCGTGGATGAGGCCGATGTTGAGGCTGACACCGACGATTGTTGCTGCTGCTGCTGCTGCTGCTGCTGCTGCTGCTGCTGCTGCTGCTGCTGCTGCTGCTGCTGCTGCTGCTGCTGCTGCTGCTGCTGCTGCTGCTGCGCCGACTGCTGTTGCTGCGCTTGTTGCGGTGGTTGGGAAGATGGATGATGCTGCGACGGGTGTTGCGGCGATTGCTGCTGCTGTTGCGATTGCGGGGAACTCGTCGCCGCGGGCTGGCAGGGGTTCGTCGCTTGTAGGCAGGGTGAGCTGACTTCCATCTCGTAATACGACGTCGACGTCTGGCTCAGGGGCGGCCCGTAACTGTCGTCCATCGCCCACCAGCTACCGTCCACGCGTCCGATCTTGGACGGGCTCTCGCCCAAGTCCATGTGGAATTCCATGCAGCCAACGCCACCACCCTCCAATTTGCGTTTACCTGCCGTCGCCTGCAGACCCATCATTGCACAACTCTGAAAGCACGCGTGAACAGCTGCTGTTAGCTACGTGTATCTCACGTTACGTCTCTATCTTACATAGAAAAGATACGCGTATAACATTTTCTTTCAATTACAGAGCCATGCATTTTCTATTCTAAAAAAGGCACGGCTGAGCGTCTAAGTTATAATTTTATCTCGCCGTCTGAGATTGTTAAGAGTCAACATTAGCTCGTGCATATTCGTTGGTGTTAATACAATAAAATCGAATGGGCGCGCTTAGTTTCGCGACGCTCGGAGGCGAGAGAGTAGGCAAGAAAGGACGTGACTCAGACGCTCGGCACTCCGACGGAGCGATGGAAAAAGTGACGTCACACGACTCCCTAGCCCTGCCTGGAAGAAATCATCAGCGGAACGCGGACGATCGCTGCTGGCGAGCGGACTCGACCGCAGCCTTCTAGCAGCAGTATCTTCTCATCACTAGCTCGGCCAGTATTTATGACGGAAGAATTCATAAATAGAACGAAATGGAAAAACATGTGTGATCCCGAATTCTTAATTCTACGAACAACACAATTTAGCGAACGTTAAGTTCGAATTATTTTGGAGCCGAACAAGGATTAAGATTCTGTCTCATTTTGCAGCGGTCAAAATATTCAATGCAAAAGTCGCAGACGTTTCTTCCGCGGCCTAAGAATCATTCAGATTATAATTTTTTCAAGTTTCGTCGTCGATCGCGGGCCGGACCTCGCGTGCGTATCTCGGTATCACGACCCTACGAAAGCGGTACCCACGCAGCCGTGGATGATTTACGCGCGTACGAGGTCGCGCGAGTGAAAGTAAGTAAATAATCGTACCTCCCTCCAGCCCTTGCTCACCTCGGGAGACAGAGAGACAGCGTTTCTCCGTTGGCGGGAGCAAGAACACGCTCTCGCGAGCGTGAGAAAGAGAGGCCGAAGGTAGGGAGACTTGGAAGGGTGTGAGGGCGGGGGACGGCGGGAGGGGGAGGGGGGAACCGGAGAGCAAGCAGTGTATCGCCATGGTAGCGCAGCCCGTTTGTGCCCGGAGATGCCGTGAGATGTCACCGGCGACACGTTCATCGGCTGACCGAGTCCACGTGGCCTCCACATGACGTTTGATTTCACGGGAAAAAGGGTAGGTAGGTATAGGTGGGAGGGTGGCGAACGACCACTCCGGACGAACGATGAAAAAGTGACAGCCTGGCGTCGCAAGGTCGGCGACGAAAGGGCAGCGACGGTACTTCGCCTCCCGGGCACGCGAACTCTCGTGAAATACGAAATGAGAGACGCGGACGAACGCAGAATCCCCCGTCATAATCGCGCGATTAATCTCGTTACCGAAGTCGATTATCGTCTCTTTGACTTTCGTCGCGCGACTCGATTACAGAGCGAATTGCCACTTACCAAACTTGGGTAATTCGCGCAACTTTCATAAATTTGCGTTAGAAATAGTTGCAGATACTATTTCTATCTCGGGCGCTTCCAACTTGCGACTTATCAAATTTAAAGTCTTTAAGAGAAAAGACGTGTCGCTCTTTTTTTTTTTTTTTTTTTCACGCGATACGCGATTCCGCGAGTCAACATGTCGAACAATGTTATTCCACAGGGTGCCTTGACGGTTAAAGGCCCATGGGTTTAACATTGTTGCTTTCTCTTTTTTTTATTTGGGAAAGTTGGAAAGCGTGGTAGCACGTCTTTTCATAAGCAAAGGCTGATAAGAGACCGACACGAGCGTTTTGTTGCACAAAGCCGCCAAGCAAAAGTATTAAGTTTCGTTTAATTTTCACGTAGCTTCGCCTCTCGACGCAGGGCAATTGGCAAAGAAACAAAGCTGCTCGCGAATATTTTGCGCGAAATTTCGTGCGCGAACGCGGCGATCTAATAGAATTCGCTCGTGAAACAGACGTCACCATCGAACTCGGCTTCCGCGCGTCACTACCACACCGCCTCGAGCAACGCCGATAGCACGGTTCTGCTGTAGTCACGATGACGACCAGGCTCGCGGTGAGTAACTAAAGACTTATAGTTAGAGTCACTATGACGCGTGATATGTTCCCACTGTTACTATTCTATTTTATAGTTCCGCTATCGTATTCACTCAAAAGATTGATATTAAAAAAAGTTCCAAATAATTTAATAAATGCCGTAGAATATAATTAGATAAATTATATATATTTTTTTTTACTGGATTATTCAAGCGATTAAATGTTTAAATACGCAGATATGAATTTAAATTATTGCACTCGAAAGAGCATAATTTTGTGTGTATCTTTTGCTCGACTGAAAGTGACCCAGTTTGACTTATCAGTTAAGAAGACGGACCGAGCACACACGGGTTTTCTATGTGCTTGCGTATGTTGTGGCTACGTCCCTGATCTGACTCGAGTGTCTCTAGCGGCAACAGCTTGCTCTTGCGACCGCGTACATCCGCCGTGGCCGGCCGTAGCGGCCTACTTGGAATATGACTCGCTCGTGGAGATTCTCCTTCCAGCGCGACGTGGTCAACCGGTCAGCTCGGAGCTCCGAAGAACGTTCGTGGAATCATCGCGGAGGAAAAACAACGCGACAGATCTCATCTCGCCTTCTAACGCCGTGAAAACAATACTCTTTTCCCGGCAACTTTTTTTTCCAAACTAAAAGCAAAAGCGACATTTGTGCTGGAGTATTTATTTCCAGAATTTTCGAATAAAATAACTTAAGCGAATTTAAGACGAATAAATAAACACATGATTTTTCTATGAAAAATCAAGCGTAAAAATTTTTTAAAATTCGCTACTTTAAATCTAGATTTTCCATCCGTTGAATATAATTTATTTATCATAAAGCACAAGACTCTAGAGATATCTTATTGACATTTGCGCTGGAGTTTTTACTTCACGGTATACTTATCGATACATTACGTCGCACGAATAATATGATACTTTAGCTATCGTTCCAAATTATATAATTCCTATGTTTACATTGTTGCAAAAGATCCACACTGCCCATGCACGATAAATCTCAGATAAATGCAGCACAGGCTGTGTATCGTCTTGCGTATCGTGAAAGTGACGCGTGCATCGGGGAAGGCGATAAGCTCGTGAAATCAAGGGTGTGCGCGTAACACGAGTTAATAATTTTCGATCGGCGAAACTTGGTCGTTTCTCCACTTGCGCGGTGGAGGGGGGGGGGGGGGAGAGAGAAAAGGGGAAGGCACGAGACCGTACTTGAAAATTTCGACGGAACTCGGCGGAATGAGCGCGCGCGCGTGTCCGTCTACGGATGCGGCCGTAATCTCGGCGTCTCCTTCTCTTACGTGCGATATTTGCGAAGCGTGACCGGGCACTTGTTGAATCGACAACGGGAACGGGAACAAGAGGAAACCGGGAGCGACGGAGAAAGGAGGCGTGAGAGGCCGGGGCGAAGCGTAGAGGATAGCGCGGGAGAAAGGGGCAAGAGCCGGATGGACGGTGAGAGGTAAGGTGGTTAGGGAAAGGAGGAAGCCCCCAAAGGAGGAGGAGGGATGAGGTACAAAACGCGAGCGGGGGGAGAGAGAGAGAGAGAGAGAGAGG